CCGCCCCCCCAAGATATGTAAAATCACATGTGACTGGAGAATGGCCTCACTGTAGCTGAAATTAAAGAATCACCAAAAATAGTAATAGGAAGGAGGCTGAAGGGAGATTTAAGATCTCCTGGAGTGCCCCATGCTGCACAGGCGACAGACTGTCTGGAGGAGCACAGAGGTAGAGGACAGGAGTATGGGGTTAATTGACATAATAATTAACACACCAGGATGCGTCAGTTCCTAGCTCACCCTTTTCCCAGCAGTTTGGGAACTGCAAAGCACATGAAACATCCCAAACAAACTCCCCGCTCCAGGAGCAGCCCAGATTCTCCCCTTGTAAACTGTTTGCAGTATCTGTCTTCGCTAATAACAGTGAGCGGCGTTCCCATAAGCCCCGAGACGACCTGCTCTGCCTCACGAGGGGTACGTTTCAGAACATAAACAACTGTAACGCCAGTAACAGAAGATGTAACTTCTGTGTTTAGAGGTTTTACCGTCTTTTTTCAGCTCCTGATTTTCCATGCAGCTTTGCACGAAAACGATACAGCTCGAGTGAGTTCATCCTGTTGCATCACCGAGGTCCGGCAGCGTAATCTTTGCGAGCAAGCCTTTCCATATTTACATTTTTGAAGCTGCTGTCCTTACTAAGATAAAGGCAGCCTTGCTGGCTTGTTCTGCCTTTTCACGGCAGCCTTAAAAACATATTTAACAGAACGTGCTCGAAACGAGATTCCCCCCGCTCTTTACCTGCTCTTGTTCAGACAAGTTCTGAAGAAAACAGCCCAACTCCTGTCCAGCTCCGGTGCCAATTTATGCCTCAGCTCCTGGCAAGTGCAGTCATTTCAGGGACAGCTCAGACAGGAAAAGCTCTTCAAAGTTTGGGAACGGGAGGAGGAGGGGGATGAGACTGTTTATTTTAAAAATCTCTGTAATTTCCCCATAAAAAGAGAGTAGATAGGTCTGTAACTCCTGTCTGCCTGAAGCTGAGGAGCACAGATGCAGCTAAAAACCAGGCTGTTCACTGCTCAGCTCCCCTCTCGAATGCTCTTTTCCCACCTTGCCTGGTTAAAGAGGCCCCACCGCAAAACCAACCCGCCTGCCTCGGGGCAGCACCTCGCAGCGAGCAGTCCTGACCCTCGCTTGGCCTCCTAAACCCTCCCGTAGCACTGCAACACGCACGGGCTGCCAGTGAAAAATTAACTTCATAAACGTCTTCCGGATTTTGCAGCTACTGCGCTGAACTGAAACAGCCTGGAGTCCTGCCGGGGAGATGTGGGCAAAAGCAGAACTTCCCAGGTTAAGCTGTTTTGACAAAACTCAATGGGCAGAAAAAACTCAGAAAAAAACCACTGCCCTTCGGCCACTCGGAGAACTTGCCTTTTGTGCCAGGGCTGCCCACGAAGATGCCCGGGTACACGGGGAGGGGGCTCAGCTCCAGACCAGGTCCAATCCCGTCACGGCTGCCAGAAGACAAATTCCTATGGGAAAGGCATCCCTGGTTCTGCTCAGGGAGACGCTGCGGCACAAGAAGCAGGGAGAAGCTGCGCTCAGCGGGGCCAGGCACGCGGCAGGAAAGGGAGCAGTGTTTACTTCAGGTCCTCCAAAACTTGTCGGAGCGAGACCTAGTTTGCAAAGCTGCTCCTAGCTATGAAGCCTTGAGCAATGCTCAGCTGCGAAGGGAGCACATCCTGCGCAGCGCTGGAAATCACTAATCTGGTTTGTGCTCTGAATAATAACCTCCGCGTACTTACAAGATGTCAATAACGTTGCCTCAAACGCCTGTTATTTCCTACGGAGCATTTCCTTTCTCAACCAGCATCCAC